AGGACGGCAGCCGAGGTCCCCTCTGCCCCGGTACAGCCGCACTGGGAACGATCCCGCCCGCCACGGGCAGAGTTCCCAGGGGAGCCAAGCTCTTCATGACGGAAACCCGACCAGGGAGCGCCTGGAGCGGGAACGGCGGCTGCGCTTGGGGACAGGGAGGACGGCAGCATTAGGGACAAGGACACCGGTGCCCTGTGTCCCCCGCCTCGCCTGCTGCCGACCATGGGAAACGGCATGAGCCAGGTAACGGGGAGTGCTGGGGCGGCTGCTCTGGGGTTTCAGCCATGCTGGGGCAGCTTGTCCCGGTGCTGGAGGTGGGAGACGTGGGAGACGTTTGCCTTGCTTGCTCTGCTGTGCCAAGTGGTGTTTCACCCATCGGCACTGTATCCGGCACAGGGCTTGGAGGTCAGGCAGCTTGTTTACCTGCCGGCAGAGCGAAATTGGAGGAGAAGCAGGCAGGGACACTGTGCCAGCCCACAGCTGTGGCAGGGGGTGTGGAGGGCAGGGGTGACAGCGAGACCCTCCGAGGGAGGGGGGAACCTTTCCCAATGCCTTTAAAACCAAGGCACCTGCTCCCAAGCACACACCGGGAGCCCTGTGCAACCCTGAGCCCGGTGGTCCCGCACCCCCTGCTCAGCGGGGCTGGGCTGTGCTCAGCATCATGGGGTGGAGGGGACGGGTGCTATTTTATGGTCGTTTGAGCTTCTCCCCGTCACAGGTGAATAGAAATACCTTCTTCCTGCAGGAATCTCCAGCTCCTAAGCTTTAAACACCCCTCCCCAGCCCCATAATTGCTCATTAACTGGGGAAGTGCCCAGCACTGCAGACCAGGCTGTAGTGCCCCGTTTTCTCCAGCGAGTGGGTCAGAAGGGTGCTGGGGACAGAATGTGCTGCTATTCGTGGCTCAGCATTCTGCCCTTGGGAGATGCCCTTGCTAACTGGTGCTCTTCTACCAGCTCCTTTTGGTGCCACAGCTGCAAGTTAAAGGCACCCTATCAGTAGAAAATTGATCTAAAATCTTAGGAATCATAAAAAAAAAATAATCCCTCTCTAAGCTGTTTGACCAAGATAAATGTTTCCAAACATGGGCAGTGAGATAAGTACAAGCCCAGCTGTGCTGTTAAAAATCACCTCTTCCTGCCCAGGTCCCCAGCACCAAACATCACAGCATAGAGAAGCTGGAGAGGAAACTGGCTGGACATGGGGGTGAACAGCCCGGGGACCCTCGCTGGCCAGTCTGGGAGACAGGGAAAATATAAAATAGCCCTGGGTAAGAAGGGATGCAAGCTATCCTGCTTCTGCATCTGCAGAGCAATTAACAGAGGCAGTGTCAAGTAATTATCTTTTCATCATGAAAAGTGGAATTTCAGAAGGAAAATAAGACATGGTGTCCTGAGTGGTCTGTTAGAAAAGGGCTCCCTAAGGCATAGAGTGAGGGGAGCAGAGCTTGGGGCTGAGAGGGAGACCACTGCATCCCCCCCAGGCTTCTCTGTGCCTGTTGCTTCCCTGTCCCTCGGGCAACAGGACTTCCGCAGGCCATGGGTATAGTCCAAGGCTGTATGGGGGCGTATGCAGCTTGCTGAGCTCAGATAAAAAAGCCCCAACAAATAACTTATTGATAATAAGCATAAGGAGCAATAAAAAAGTTGTGGCTGACTCCCAGTGCCCGTGAGGGTGCAGTGCCAGGCAGTTGCACGGGTTGGGGTGCCAGGGCTGCATCCAGGCCTGTGTGCTGGATGCCAGAGAATCAGCAGCCCCGTGAGCACCCATGGTCAGCTGCACCGGCGCCGCTCCGTCCCTGGGGCTGGTGATGGTCATGTTAACGGCACAAATTTGGCCTTTCTGGCCGAGGTCACTGCTTCCAGCAAGGGGTCCTGGCGTGGTAGGTATCACAGCATAAGGTCGCTGCTCACGCTGCCACTTCTCCTTGTGTCCCACAGATCCTTCCTGGCCTCTACCTTGGGAACTTCATCGGTAAGCAGAGCCCCGCCACCGCAGAAACATTCTCCAGCCAGGGAGCTGGGCTTGCTTGAGTTCGTGCCTCCCTGCCTGCAAACGCTGCCCAACGCCCACCACACACTCCGCACTGCCGCTCGGTTCGCCTTGGCAGCAGCGAGAGTGGAAGCACCAGAGGAAACACAAGGCAGAAACCCTCTGCCTTCACTTTGTTTTCCTTGTTTAACGGCTGCCCTGAGCTCTTGGGACACATGGGTGGAAGAGGGTGAGGGGGGCTGTGGTCTCACCAGGAAGGGTCCAAGCAGTGGACATGACGTGACACCTCTGGCTGGGACTGGGAAGCCCTCGCAGCCATCCCACTTCCTCGGTGCAAGGCAGCAAGCTTGGCGGGGATGAGAGCATGCAAAGCACCAAAGGGAAAGCTGGGCTTTGCTTTCAAACCCCTCTGAGTTTTGTGGAAGTTCACCCACCATGGTGGGCTGTGCCATGTGCTTGAGCTGGCGTGGATCCTGTGCCAAGAGCAGAGGAGCTGGTGGTGCCACACAAGCACGAAGGAGCAGGGCCAGACCCTCTCAGGGTGATGCACCCCAGTTCTGCAGCTGTAGGAGACACAAGACAGGTCTGCCCATCCTCAGGAGGGAGTTTCTCCCAGAGGCAGAGTCACCTCTTTTCACACCAGTTCACTATTTTAAGGGGTTTTCATTGTCAGGGGGCAATTCATTACCAAGTACTGGCATCTGCCATGACAAACCAGCATTAATTAGTGCTCCTGCCTCCCTAACGGCTCTTTTGGCAGCTTGAGTCCTGCTGTAAGTGCTGAGAAGGTTTAAAACCACTGGTGTGAATTGCTAAGAAAATGTTGTTGGAGCCTGAGCAGCAGCCCTAGCTGGGGCAGAACTGTGTTCCCTGCACCCTGTGGAGCACCTTTGGGGTGGGCTGAGGGGGCTGCGGCTTGCTGGGAGCAGAGGGACAGGGGCACCCGGCTCCCAGGTTCATCACGGGGGTTCCTGTGAGTAACCGCTGACATGGGGTCTTGGCCTGATGCCACCTGAGCATCGCTCTTACCAAGCAATCCAAGGTGACAGAGGTTTCAGGCCCACTACACTAAGCTCTTGACTGCTCACAGAGGCATTTTCTCCAGCTGAAGGCTTTTCAAGCCGGTGTAAGCCTTGACACCGGTGCCACTAAGTGCCATCACTCTGCCTGCCCAACACAGGTGGGAAGGTGGTAGGTGCTGTGCAAGTCCCCACGAGGGTTCCCACCTCCCTCCCCACAGGCACACAGCAGGGTTCGCCTGCAGAACCTCTCTCTCGAGACTCACTCCTATTAAAATTCACATCATGCTGTTAGCACATTGCGGTCTGGATTCCTGAGCCAAGGTTTTACACCACGTGAAAGTTTAGAAACCCAAAGCGACGAGATGGGAAAAATGTTACTCCTCCTCTCCGGCAGCTTGTGCACCATCCACTGGTCATGGCATGAAAGGGAGACGGCTACAAAGCTGTTTAGCCAGCAAGAGGAGCACGCTCCCCTCCCAGTGTAACAACCGCTGTGGTGGACCAGTGACAAGGTCACAACCAGGGATGCTGAAGCATTAGTGAGAAACAGGTCATTGCCCCAGAAAGCTGAGGATACTCAATTTCTGTGCATGCAGCTGCAGAGAGGATACGCGCAAAGTGCTGCTTGCACGATAAAGCAGATCTCTCAGGCTGCAGCAAGTCCCATTGCTACATGCATGCTTGCTTTCTTCTCCAAGCTGGCGACAAGTACAGGCAGATGGGAAGCTGCCTGCTTGCAAAGGAGGGAGTTTTTCCATGCAGATGTGAATTTTCACCCCAGCACAAGCAGTGAGTTCAAGTGCCTTCGGAGGGAGTAGGTGTCTGGTTTGGTATCATGGGGTTCACGTTCCAGATTTCCAGGGTGCGTTTGCATATTTGCCCTTGTCTGCGCTGCTGCATGCGGAGGGGTGTGATGCAGCCAATCCTCTGGAGCAGAGCTTTGCGTGCTGTCTGTCTGCAGGAGCATGGTGGATGCACTTGTGGGAAGAGAAGGATAAGAAATGAATACATGCTAATATCTAGTTTTATCCTTTAGATGCCAAAGACCTAGAGCAGCTAAGCCGGAACAAGATCACCCACATCGTTTCGATCCATGAATCTCCCCAGCCCTTGCTGCAGGTAGGCTCCTGTGCCTGACACCACTGTCCAGATTTCTGCAGCTCCTTCCATGCTGCAGCATCTTCCTTCCCCATCTGAGCACCCCACAGCATGTACACCTCTCTGCTCTCTCCGCCAGCAGTCCCAGAGGAGCTGGGCAGCCACCCCCGCTCTGGGAAACTGGCTGTCTTGTGACTATAACCTGGCCTTGAATGGGAAACTATTTCCAGCTCTCCAGCATCATCTTGTTTCCCACCCCCTCCCACCAGCTGCCTGTCCCCCACTGCCCTCCCTACGCTCCTGCCAAGGGAGAGAGCGGACCCATCCCAGCACAGGGGGATGCTGTGTTGGGGGAGCGAAGCCCTGCAGGCAGTACTGGGGTGAGGAGCAAAGGCACTGCCAGACCGGCTGCAAACACCCATGACATCCTGATCACAGCACCCAAGTTTTTTCCTCTTCCTTTTGTGTCTTCCAGGACATTACCTACCTCCGCATCCCCCTGCCTGACACACCTGAGGCCAATATGTGAGTACCCCAGGGATGCTGGGGCCAGCTCAGGGCACACGGGGGATCTGGGCTCTGCAAGGCAATCGGGGCTGAGGGCTCATGACACCGTGAGCCCTTGAGGTGCCACCTCCAGCTCCTCAAGTGCAACGATTCACAGGCTGGAGGCGTGATGCCCCGGTGCTGGGTTCCACTTTTGCACCCCAACAGCATCCCAGCTCAGTAACCCCTGGGGAGCGGGTCCCATCCCTAGGGCGACACAAGAGGCAGCCCCTCTGCAGCACCGATGGAGAGGAGCAGTGAGCACTCCCCCAGGAGGTGCCTGGAGGGGGGAGGACGGGTAAAGGGTGTGCAGCCAGCCAAGGATGCTGGCATGCCTGCAGGCATCACCAGCCAAGCTCCCACTGCTCAGGAGTCCCAGGGCAGCTGAACAGCCCTTCACGTCCCCAGCACAGCTGCACAGCAGCACCCACTCCCATCCTCAGCATGGCATGAGCTGGCCTATGCACCTTCCCTTGGGAAACAACAGCACTGAGCTGCTCAGGTCTCAGCAGCTGCTCGTGGTGCCTGTAAAGCAATAGGCAGTTTATGTTAGTGCTTCATCCTCAAACCCGCAGGGCTGCTCTGCCTGCAGCCTAAAAAGTCCTGTTCCATCCCTGGAGTCCTTATTCTGTCTGGTTTATTTTTCCTTCTAGCAAGAGGCACTTCAAGGAATGCATCAGTTTTATCCACCAGTGTCGCCTGCATGGAGGGAACTGCCTCGTCCACTGGTAACACTTCTTTCCCCGTGCCCAATGCCCTGACCCCCCCAGCGCAGCAAGAGTAGAAAAGACCCAGACCCCCACTTTGGCTGCAGACCCCTAACCAAAGCCAGCCTGTGCCAGAGGGCTCCATGCCCATGGATCCACCCAGGATCCACCCACAGCTGTGGCTTGTCCCTGAAACTGAGTGGGATCCAGGCAGCCCTGGAGACAGGGCAGCTTTGCCCTGCAGCT